AAGATAGTCAAACTCTTTGTCACAAATAAGAATGTGATTAGAACACCAAAAATCCTTAACAACTTTTAGAACAAGCAAACCTTTGCTAGTGAACAAATCAACCTTTGTAAACTTAGGAAAGCATTTATCAATCACATGATCATTCAAGTTCGTTTTACAAGGTTTCGTTGGTGTAATTGAGCCACACAACATGTCTTTAAGCAAGTATTTCAAATCATGGCAAGTTTGAAACGAAACACATTCAATTTTAGTACTAAGCAATTCAAACGTACTGCTACACAAAGACACTCTCAAAGATGAGCTAAATTCACGAAACTCATCAAACATTAAACTTTTTGGCTTAAAGAACCTTTCATGTGTGGTTGTTTCAAAAGATGAGACCATTTTATCAAAAACAAGGTTTGAGACACGAAATTCTTTCACATTCTCTAAACCAAAACGTTTTTCATTTTGAGCAGAAATCAACACACACAAATTAGAATCAGTCCTAACCAACCCAATTTCCTTACAGTGCTTTCTCGGGTAGTCACAAGGAAATGACATAGGAACATGTTTTGGCACAAAGTTAGATGGCGGTTCCAATTCATGGCTCAATGACAAACTCCTTTGCGTTTTGCCTAGCGATTCTTCTTCATGAACCTTTGAAAAGGAAACAATGCTACTCGGTTTCTCCGGTTCAAAACTTGTTAGTTTATCAAGCACAAAATCAGATTGGGAAGATGAAAGAGTACACTTAGCTCGCGGAGAGGCGAGATTTTCCGTAATGTTGGTGTCACTTTGTTCTTCCTTGTTGCTTGAGAGTTGCTGATTTTGTACGGCTATGAGTGGTTGAATTTCTTCTCTCGCACGTCTCGGCCTTTGGCTACTCCGGTGAGATGAGTGACTACTCGGGAAAATTTTATCAACCGGCTCCTTCCTCGAGGATTGACTGTTTTGCTGCTTTTGATTTTTATCGCCCTCCGAGATGATGACTTGTTTGGCCGACACCTTTTCTTTTCCTTTAATTTGTGCTTCGATCGTCTTAAGTCTTTCTTCAATTTTTTTTGTAAGCTTTTCGTTCATCAATCTATCCATTTGACTGGTGATTTGCTTGGTGATAGCATCTATGAGGACTTGATTGTTAGCACTTCTTCTCGACCGTGATGACTTGGATTTCTCCCCCCCTGCCATTGAAACAAAACAAAACCAGTCACTAGTTCAAAGAAAAAAACATGAAAATGATGCCTAAAACAGATGAAATCGATCTAACAAAATAAATTATGAAATCAAGTTCAAAAATTCCAGAATTAATTTTGTAAAATACTAGACTCGTTTTAGTTTCAGAAACAATCAAATTTGCAATTTTCGGATTAGTCAAACATTTATGAAAATTCATACAAAATGACAGAAAATCCAGAAAAGAACAAACAAAACAAAAACTGACGAAAATTAAAACGAAAAATAGAATGGACTATGGATGAAGATTGAAATGAAATGATGAGATATGATGAAGATGATAGAGAACTCAACTTTTCAGAGTGTGCTCTGATACCACATAATATGTTTCTCCTAGAATCGACACTCTTGAAGTTGAGGGAATGATGGGCTTTGCACCTAAGGGATCGGGGGATCTCTTAGATCAAAGGATGTGGAGCGAATGGTCGCACAAAGGTTGCGGATGAGCCTTTGATTTACCGGACTTGGACTTGCCTATGGATATTACACACCAAAGAAAAGAACAAGAGAGAGTGATCTAACTTAGAAAGAGTTTTTGATAAAAGATTAGATGAGTTACAAATGAGAGGTAGAGGGGGATTATATAGTAGAAGGGAAAGGGAGAGAGAGGTGCCTTGGAAATACACAAGTGTCTTGGAAATACACTCATGCAAGACCATGAACCAAGTCTTGGAAATAATAAAACAATAAATGCAAGAATGAAGAGAAAAGATAGAAAATGGGCCAAGGCAAAGTGTTGGGCCTTGGACCCACGAATTTGGTTTGATAAAAGGCTTTGAAAGTGTTACTTAGGCCTCATTAAAAACCTTGTCAAGAAAACCCAATGAGACAAAACTTGACAAGGGAAAAAGAGTGCATAAGCAACACTTAACCCTTTACCGAACCTTTTGAGCCGGGATGATTATTGAGGGACTTGAGCCACGTCTTCTTGCTTCTTGTCTAGCTCCCTAAGTCTTCCATTGGTTGATGGGTTGAGCTCCTTAAGCCTTGAGCGTGTTAGAGGACCTTCCGGGATGATTAGTAGTTCCTCCGCTTCGAGCTGCTCCTCGGCGACTTGTTGCTCCTCTTCTTCGTGTTTCTCCTCGTCGTTTTCGTGCTGGTCCTTGTCAACGGCTTCCTCCATTACGTGCTCCGAGACTTGTTCGACCATAGTCATATCAAGAAGGATGTTCAAAAAATTACCAACCTTGAAGAAGATGTCAAGAGCATCAAACAACAACTCGAGAAGCTCGACGTTCTGGAAAAACAGCTGAGCAAACTGGACGGACTGGAGCTACTCCAAAAACGTCTTTTGGGCGAGGAACGACGTTCATGGGAATTGGAAAAAGGCATTGGCGTGGAGACTCAGACAATGGAGGACAGTGCAAACACTTCCACGGTGGCGCAACGCTTGTTCACACCAACCATGACGCCAGCCACAGCTCCCACACCAACACAAAACGACGGTCAAGACAAGAACGAACCTTTAACACGGCGAATTGAGGTACCTCTGTTTGACAGGGTGAATGTCGACGGCTGGGTCCATCGTGTTGAACAGTACTTTGAGATGGGAGATTTCACAGCCGACGAGAAGCTTAAAGCGGTGAGGGTTTGTTTCGACGGAGACGCGTTGGCATGGTACCGTTGGGAACGGGAACGCAACCCCTTCCTGAGCTGGGAACAGCTCAAAGATCGCATCTTGGAGAATTTTTCGGTCACCCACGACCTGATGGCAGGCGAGCGGTTACTGCTGCTTCGCCAGGACGACACTATCGGACAGTTTTGCAAAGAGTTCATCGCCTTGGCATCTAACGCACCGGAAGTTCCGGAGAAAGTATTGGAGATGGCCTTCATGATAGGACTGAAACTGAAAATCCGAGCTGGTGTGAAAGTGATTGAACCCAGATCGTTGAAGAAGATGATGAGTATGGCCCGAAAGGTTGAAGAATGGACCAAGTCACGGCTAGCAACCATCGGATTCCGTAAGCAAAACGACAAATTGTTTTGGAGGAGATCGATCGCACACACGTGGCACTCAACCTGTGTTAGGAGGGGTAGTTCCGTCTTTTCAACGGACCCTCATTTCACAAGAGAAGCAAACGTCGACGTTTTGACCCACTTGAGACAAAAGTATAACTCACACCCGACCTAATGAAGGAAAGCGGATGCCGTATCGCCGTCTCACCGATGTTGAGGCCAACGATCGTAGAGTCAAAGGGCTGTGATTCCGATGCGACGAGCGCTACTTTGCTGGCCACAAATACCGACTGAAGGAATTGCAGGTCATGGTGGTAAGCGAAGAAGTCGCCGACGGAGACGAAGGCACGGAGGGAGAAGAGGAGTATATCGATTCAGTCTCGGGAAATGTCGCTGATTGTGCGGTGCTGTCTCTTAGCTCCGCCGCAAGTATCTCGTCACCGCGGAAAATGAAGCTTTGGGGGTAATCCAACAGACTGATGTCATCATTTTAATAGACAGCGGCGCCTCTCATAGCTTCTTGTCGCAATAGGTCGCTCGCCACCTACAAATCAAGACGACGGGCACGATGGAATACGGATTGCGAATGGGAACATGCCTGATAGTACGCGGAACGGGGGTGTGTCAGGGTATCTCATTGGAACTTCCGGGGTACACCATTCTTAGCAATTTCTTGCCACTGGACTTGGGAGGAGTCGACGTGATACTAGGGATGCAGTGGTTAGAAACCTTGGGCGAGATGAAGGTCAACTGGAGGGAGCATGTCATGCAATTCAGAACCGAGGGGAAATCTATCACAGTTCAACGCGACCTTAGCCTGGCGAATACGGCGGTATCACTCCGGGCGTTGTGGAAAACTTTGCAACAGGAGGGTGAAGGATTGTTGGTGGAGTTTAATGCACTACAAGGACAAGTCCCAGATGGAAATTTTTCGACACCGGATGAGATTCAACCATTGCTGCACGAGTTTGCTGGAGTATTTACAGAGTCCAAGGGGTTACCGCCGTCGCGTGGGAATGAGCATTCGATCACTCTCAAGTCGGGAGCAGAACCCGTTAACGTCATTGTGGGAGCTGAAATCGACGAACTAAAGATGGAGTGAACTTGAGTGGGTTCCTGATTCCCTGTCCGAACTTGTGAGTAAAATTGCCAAATGAGAGAAAATTGCTTTAGTTTTATTTAGTGTATTTTGCCAATAAAATCCGACCCCTTTACACTTAGTCCTCCCCCACTATTTATACAAATTTGAAGAATACTAAATGCCGGGCAAACTCCGCTCCGCGAATCACGCGTTCCACTTTAATGCACCGTTTGACCCGATGATAGCCCGTTTCGATTCTCCTCTTGAATGCTCATATCTTTCCGGACTCCTCTTAACGGGCTGACCAGCTCCGGGATCGAGCTACTATAAATGGGCCTTAATCATCTCGGGCCGAATTCCGGTACCCACAGTAAGCCCCCCAAGTCTTCCGAAGTGATTCAGTTCGGGAGACTTTAATGCGAAACAATTAAAGAAACCACAATTCCCGAATCTGATATGATTGATTTGTCTTCACCCGATGTTGCCTTTTTGGATTCCTGTGCTCCGGTTTTGCCGCTTCGGAATCCCTAGGTTGCCGGCTATAAAGGTCGCGACCTTCTAGCATCCCTAGGTAATCAATACACTACGGCCGCCGAGACAATATAAAGGTAAAGTTCTTCTCCCTTCGTTTTCTTTTTACTTTCTCTCTTGTTTCTTTCTGCTATTTCCCTGCTTTCTCCGACCATCAAACCGCCGTGCTCTCGATCCTTTCTACTTCAATCCTTTACTCGCAACTTCCAGCCGCATCATGTCTCCGCCTAAGGAGACTCTGACTACCGGGGACACACACCTTTCCGGTCAATTCGGTCCACACCCCCGGTCAACCATCGCCGAGGAGGATCTTGTGCATGTGAAATTCCTTTGCGGGCTCACATCGGAGACAGAGCTTATTGCTCCGGGGGATGACCTATCACCGGAGGACCCCCGCCTGGCTACTGCTGCGCCTACGAGATCTTCTTCTCGAAGTGCGGCCTCTACTTCCCCTTGCCGGAGCTCTTGGTGAAGGCGATGTTCACGCTGGGCGTCGCCCTCCCCCAATTATGTCCGAACTTCGTTCGGACCATCCTCTGTCTACAGACTCTGGCCGAGGAGCACGGCTATCTCATCACTTTTCAAGACATCCTCCACCTTTACACGGTAAAGAGTGGTCGGACTAGGGGAACATTCTACCTCAGCCTGTTAACCGGGTTTCGGGTCTTTGATGACTTTCCCGGGAAAGACGAGCAGTACCGGAGTGGTTACTTCTTCTTCCCGATAAACCGGGATACCTTCGGCGACCTGCAGGAGCTGTTCGTTCCGCATTGGTCCCAAAAACCCGGTAGAAACCGCGAGGAGATTCAAGAATCTTCTACGCTTGCAAACTTCTTGTTCGCACATCTCACTTCGGAGTACTAACTCTCTCTATGTTTGTCTCTTTTTTAGCTTCCCTTGACCGCGGGCTGTTGTCAGAAACCTTCGCGGACTACTTCGTCACGTTCTGCAGTGGTCAAACCGCGTGGGACTCTTTCACCTGCCCCAGGATCCGTGAGGCCGGCGCTCGCATCCGCACTAGGTTTCTCACCATCTCCTCCCCCCAGCCCGCTCCTCCAAAAATGAATTACCGCGAAGAGCGAGCTTACAAAAAGAAGATGGAGCTGAAGGAGAAGGAGCTGCAGAAGAAAATGGTTGCCATGCTGTCGGGCATCAAAGCCCAAGTTCCTTCGAAAGAAAAATCGTCCAGCCCGGCTGCTCCCCCGGAGGGTTCAGGTCGCGAGGTGATAACCCTGCCCGACAGCGAACTCAGTGCTGACTCCCCCGCCCCTCGCCCAGCTCCTGAAGAGGGCCAAGCCAGCGGGTCTAAGAAAAGGAAAGCAACGGAGTCCGGACTTCCAGCACGCGTGAGTTCCCGGCTCCGAACGGGCCCTCCGCCCGCGACCCCGATCTTTGCTGACCCAAAGGGGGTTCCGAGGCGCGAACTCCCGGGTAACATGCTTTGTCCCGTAGTCAACACTTTTTTTTTAAACATGTGTGTAGTCCCAAACTAACGCGCCTTTTTCGCCTCATAGCCCCGCCAAAATCCTAGCGGACATGATGCGTAGCTTCAGTTGTCCCGGAGCTCGAGTTCCGGCCTTCCAAGACATGTCTGTGAACAACCGGGAGGACTACTTCCGTTTTGCCGAGAAGGTCGGCGAGGTAAGCCGCCTTCCCTCTTGCCTTGGAAATGGCTATGCACCCCACCTTTGTTATACTTACCCTACTTTTCTGGCAGATGCTCTTCGAGTTTAACAGCTCAGTGGCCCATTACAAGGAGCAGCTCTTCGCCAGCCCCTCAGCCACTGAAATTGGGGTTTTACAAGCTCGCATCTCCGACCTTGAGAAGGAGGTGAAGAAGCTCAAATCCGCGGAGGCCTCCATCCGAGCTGAGGTGGAGAAAACGGTTAAGTTCAATAAAAGGCTCCGAACCGTTGAGGGTGATCTGCAGATCGTCGAATCCTCCTTAGATACTTGCCAAGACAAGCTCCAGATAGTCGGTGAACTGTACCTGAAAGCGACCACCGCCAAGACGGAGGCGAAGCAAGAACTTCAGGAGATCAAACTTTGGAATCAGCTTCTGGAAGCGGGCAACAGCTCAGAAATGGAGAGGGTACGGAGAGAGGAGCGGAGGAAGACGCGAGCCGAGCTTCGGAGTACAATCGATAAGATTGGGGCGCAACTCGTGGAGCACGACCGCTTAATCCCCCACGCGATCCAGGCTGCTGAGATCACCGCCAATCGGATGCTGGTGGAGGAGATCGACAGAGGCGAGATCGCCGCTTTGAAGGAGGAGCTCGAAACTTTTAAGGCTGACGAGGAAACTGCCCGCCTCGAGGCCGAAAAGGTAAAGGACTTAACATTTGACCCTGCGTCATTCACCGCTTTATTGGCGGACACTCCCCCCGAACTCGGGCCCGATCCTGCTCCTGCCACCCTTATGATCGAGTAGCCCACTTCTGACCCCCCTGTTGTGCCGAACCAGGAACTTGAGGCAATTAAACTGGGCCTTAGCAAGGAGGTGCATGACCTGACCAACCCCGAGAGTGGTGAGGCTCTCGTAGGCGAAGCAACCGGCCCTTCATCAGTTCACCCCGGAGATCCTGCCGCGGACCCTGAACTTAACTGACTTCTTGCTGGGGTTGTGTTGGTCTTAGACCCCCCTTTTGTTTAAACTGTTTCTTATCATTTCATTTTTTTTAAGACTTATGCTTGAGTGCTTTTTGACCACGGAGGTCGCACTCTTATGTTCTTCTGCTAGATTTGCTCTAACTTCAGCTATTGCTTTTTCGCTTATTTGCTTTATTTTCAAGACGCGGAAAATGTTTTATTACCGCCTTTAAAGAATATTAATATTGCTAGCTGGACTCGACAAATCGAGCTGCCTACGTACCTGATTAGGGATCAAGCGCACCATAGTTCGGTTACAAATATTGCTAGACTATATATATTTTTAAAAAGTGTAGAAACCCCGCTGCGCACTTCCCAATTAGCTCCTCCAAGCGGAAAACCCCGCTGCGCACTTCCCAATTAGCTCCTCCAAGCGGAAAACCCCGCTGCGCACTTCCTAATTTATGCCGAGGTTTCCGGCGTTAAGCTTCTTTGTATTTTCATAAACCTTCCTTAATACAAGGTCGCCCACGTTGAGTTCGCGACTCCTAACTCTTGAGTTATAATACTTTGCGATCGTGCTCTGGTAATGTTGTAAACGAACCAAAGCTCGATCACGCTTCTCCTCGATAAAATCGAGGGCATCCCGAAGAGATTCTTCATTCTCCTTGGGCACTTTGGGATTCAAGGTTACCCGGACCCCTGGTACAGCGAGCTCTGCCGGAATCACTGCCTCCAACCCGTATACTAGCGAAAAGGGGGTTTCATGCGTCGACCGCCGAGGCGTAGTCCGGATAGCCCACAACTCTTCAGCCCATCGACCCTTATATGAATCCAGCCGTTTCTTCAAATTAGCCAAGATTACTTTATTCATAGCTTCGGCCTGGCCGTTGCCCTGTGGGTAACGAGGTGTAGACTTGCTTAACCGGATATTCCAGTGGGCACAAAAAGCTTCGAACTGCTTTGACACGAACTGCGATCCATTATCGGTTACAATTTCGTACGGGAGTCCGTGACGGCAAATCACGTCCCTCCACACGAACTGCTGGACTTGAGTACTCGTTATGGCGGAGTACGCAGCCGCCTCTACCCACTTGGAGAAGTAGTCGGTGAGGACCAGTAGGAATCTTACTCCCCTTGTTGAGTTATGCAAAGGTCCTACTATGTCCATCGACCGCCTCATAAATGGATATGGAGCTGAGATTGATGACATGAGTTCTGAGGGTAGATGAATCGTGGGCGCATGCTTATGGCATTTCTCACAGTTCTTCACATACTCTTCGCAGTCCGCCTTCATCGTCGACAAAAGAAACCGTAACGTTTAACTTTGACCTTCAACATCCGGGCTCCCGCGTGATCCCCGTTGGATCCATCATGGATTGCCTTCATCACTATCCTTGGTGATTCGCCAGCGATGCAAGTTAAGTAAGGACCTCCGATGCTACGACGAAGTAGGCCCTCATTGTGTAGGCAGAACTTGGCCGATACGACCTTAATCTTCCGAGCTAGCCACTTATCCGAGGGTAGCTCGCCTTCTTTTGGGTAAGCCAGGATAGGGGCTCTCCAATCCACTTCCTGGTTACCCACGGGGGGCTCTGAGAAACCTCCAGATTTCTCTTCCTCGGGCTTTTTACTATAAGGAGTTCGGGCCGCTGGGGCTCCGGACAACGCCTCGGAACTCCCTTCACCCACAGGGGAAGGAGGATCCGTTGGGACTGAAGCACCCTTCCGAATTCTGACGGCCTTTGCGGGGACAGCGGGAATCTCGGGTACTACTTCTCCCTTATCGAGTCGGCGCTGCATCGACCTAGTAAGGATATTTACCTCACCTAAGCAGACGCTGGGACGTTACAGGACCTCTACTGGGATAATCCGGGTAAAGGCGGGATCCGAGGTTGAAGCAAGGGACGCTAGTGAATCAGCAGCCGAATTCTCAGCCCTCGGAATCTTGGTCAGTTCGAAGTGCTCGAAACGATCGGCTAACTCCTTTGCTGCGGCTAAGTAGGCTTCCATGCGCCCGTCCTTTGCCTCGTATTCCCCCGAAAATTGACTTGCCACCAACTGCGAATCGCAGAAGGCGCGGAGCCGACGGACCCCGATTCCCACGGCCAGCCGGAGCCCAGCTAACAATGCTTTGTACTCGGCTTCGTTATTCGAGGCGTCAAATACTAACCTAAACGACTGTTCGATCACCTCGTTAGTGGGCGCACGAAGCCTTACTCCGACACCACTACCGTGTTTAGACGAGGCCCCGTCTACGTGGAGTGTCCACGGTCCTTCCACTTCCCCCTCTGCTCCGGCAATAGTCAATTCGACTAGGAAGTCAGCGAGCATTTGAGACTTAGCAGCAGTCCGAGCCCGGAACTGCAGGTCGTACTCGCTAAGCTCGATTGCCCACATCGCCATCCTCCCAGACTGGCTTGGGCTATGAAGGATAGTCCTCAGGGGCTGCGAAGTTAGAATCACGACCGTGTGGGATTGGAAATACGGCCGAAGTTTCCTAGCTGAGGTAACCACGTCCAAGGCCAACTTCTCCATCATAGGATAACGAGCTTCAGCTCCCGTGAAGGTTTTACTTATGTAAAATACCGGCCTCTGATCTCCCCTTTCTTCCCGTACCAACACCCCACTCACGGCATGATCCGACACGGCAACGTAAAGAAAGAGGGGCTCCTAGAGCTCGGGTTTAGCAAGGACGGGAGGATTGAACAGATATTGCTTCAGCTGTCCGAACGCCTCTTCGCATTGCTTGTCCCACTGGAAACTCTTGTTGCCTTTCCGGAGGAGCTCGAAAAAAGGCAGACCTTTATCGGTGGACCTCGAGATGAATCTATTAAGCGCTGCGATTCTCCCATTCAGGCGGTGCACCTCGCGAAGGTTCCGTGGTGACGTCATTGACAAAAAAGCCTTAATCTTCCTCGGATTCGCCTCGATCTCTCTTTCGGTCACAATGTAACCTAGGAACTCCCCCGAAGGAACTGCAAATGTGCATTTGGTAGGATTCAACTTCAAACCAAACTTATTGAGGATCGCGAAACAATCCTCGAGATGTCCGACGTGCTGGCTGGAATCCATCGACTTTACCAGCATATCGTCAATGTACACCTCCATTGTTTTTCCTAATAGCTCGGCGAACATCCTATTTATCAACCGCTGGTAGGTTGCCCCTGCGTTCTTTAATCCAAATGGCATTACTTTGTAGCAAATGGTTCCTCGATCCGTGATAAAAGATGTCTTCTCTTGGTCATCGGGATGCATCATGATTTGGTTATATCCTGAAAAAGCATCAGTCGATCAATATTCGTGCCCTGAAGTGGACTCCACCAGTCGATCAATATGCGAGAGAGGAAAACTATCCTTAGGGCAGGCCTTGTTTAGATCGGTGAAGTCGACGCAAACCCGTGACTTGCCATTTTTCTTCTTAACTACCACCGTGTTTGCCAGCCACTCCGGATACTGGACCTCTCGGATGAGCCCAGCTTCAAGTAGGCGATCCACCTCGGCATTTACCACATCAGCCCTTTCTTTTCCCAGTTTTCTACGTTTCTGCCGAACTGGCTTGAAGGTAGGGTTGACATTGAGCTCGTGGGATATCACGTCGGTACTGATACCAACCATTTCCTTTACCTCCCATGCGAAGGTCGACTTAATCCGACGTAGGAAATTAACCAACTCCTCTTTAACTTCTGGGGACAAGCCCGCCCCAATCTTGACTCTCTGTTCGGGGAACAACTCATTCAACTAGATTTCTTCGTAGAGGCCGCCGCTAAGCTTTCCCTTCATCGGGTTTTTGGCGACCCCGAGCTGTAATTGCTATTGGACCAGTAGCTTGTGTCCAGCCAGATAGCAACTTCTGGCCGTACGCTGACTACCCAATATTTCGCGGACTCCGTTTGGCGTTGTAAACTTGACGCATTGGTGGTAGGTGGACGGGACCGCCTTCATCTGATACAACCACGGAGTCCCTAGAATGGCGTTATAAGCCGCAGGTCGGTCGAAGACGGTGAATTCTACCATCTTAGACGCCCCTTGTACGGCAACCGGGAGGGTTATGGTACCAAAGGACATTGAGGTCTCGCTGGTAAATGATACCAAAGGAGCCGGAGGTCCGGAGACATGACTCTTGTCGATACCCATCCTCACGAGTGTATCCAGGAAAATTAAATATACCGAGCTCCCCGTATCGACCAATATCCTGCAAACTTCGTGGTTCGCCACGTCTAACGTAATGACCAGCGCGTCATCGTGAGGGGAGTCTAGGTCCTCGGTTTCCTTCTCCGAAAAAGTTATCTCGGGGTAGACTTCGCACGTCTTCTGCCTCTTCGGGGCTGACTCGTTCAGTTTCCTCTGGTGGTCTTTTATGGCTCTGATGGAGTTCCGGAATATCCTGGACCCTCCCATGATCACATCGATACGCTTCTTCGTTCCCTGGGGGATCTCCTCGATAAGCGCCTTAGGTTTTTTCGCCGGAGGAAGCTCTTCTTCTTCGGGAGCCACCTCAACCACGAGCTGGACAGCATTTTGCGCCTGGTCGAGCTCGTCAATCGTTATATCCGGCATCCCCCCGCTCACGAACCTCTCTGCGAGAAGGTGCATGAGCTTTTTGCAGTTCCGGGTGGCGTGTCTAGCCACCTTGTGGAATTTGCAGAAGGAATCATCATCCTGCTCCTCCCGGATCCATATATTGGTGGGTAAGGCCATGCTCCTACTTCGTGGTCCGAACCCCTGCTTCGACGGAGTCCCCTTCGGACCTCCCTTCTGGTGGTCCACCGCAAAAGTTCCCGGCCCCGGTATTTGACCCTGCGAGCTCCGCCTAGCTCCTTGGTCGAAGCTCGGCTTGGGAGTCAGTTTGTATTTCTTGGCAAGTGCGGCTTTCTCCTCGTCCGCTACGATCCAGTTCGATGCCCGATGAAGGGCGTCCTGGATACTGGATGGGCGATTAACCGTCACTTCCTCCCTGAATCGTGACTCATGCCACAAACCGTTTTTGAGGGCAGACAATGCCGCTGAATCAAAGAGTCCGGGAATCTGGACCATTATCTTTTTGAACCTAGTGATGTAGGACCGAAGTGAATCGTTCGGTTCCTGACTCAAGTTCCACAACTGAGCGTCGGTCACACCAACTCCTATGAAACTAGAATACTGTTTCACGAATGTTGTGGAGAGCTGGGTGAAGCTATCGATCGTGCCCTCTTGAAGCGAAGCGAACCACAAGAGGGCTGGTCCGACAAATGTTTCGGCGAAGAGCTTGCAATACCCCGCATCCTTCTCGTGAGGCTCGAAATCCACCCTTCCTACCGTAAGGAGGAAAGTATGGAGGTGAACTTTAGGATCCCCCTTCCCTTTATAACTGAGAAACTTGACTTTTCGCGCATCCTTGATGCGCATTGTCGAGATTCTAAATGAGAAAGGAGTTCGCTTTGACTCCTCGATAACCCAGTCGATGTCCGGGGCAGAGCTCGTCGCGTGATGGACCTTTGATTGCATGGCCCGGATCTCATTCTTGAGGAATGAAATTTCCGGATTAGACACGGTCACCGCCCCATGCCGGGGCGGAGTGCGGATGTGACCAGGCGTGGAGTTCCTACTCGTAGGAGGGGGGTATCCCGGCCTGAGTCCGGAATGACTGCCCCATGCGGAAGTGCCGACGCCGACAGACCAGCCTCTTTGGACTGATTTCCTACCGAGCTCGTAGTGACTGGGGGGGCTAGTCGTCCGCTCCCCGGGGACGCCGATGGAAACGCTCCACCAAAATCAAGCATTCGGGGCCTGCGGAGCGTAGCGCCGACAGACGTCCCCTCAACGAGCGCATCCACCTGGGCTGCATAGGCGTTGTGGGCATTGGACAGCTCGGAGACGGTCTCGGACAAGGCGGCCACCTGAGCGGTGGACCGCTCCTCAAACCCTCTGAGCTTCTCCGAGAGTGCGGCCGTGGCTGACTGCTGCTGCTCTGTCTTCCCAGATAAATCCTGCAATAGCTTCTGAATAGAACTGAGAGTTACCTGGCTATCGTCATTCGACATCTTACTAGGCTAACGACAGGAGGTCGGAAACAAGGAATCGGTGGGTTAGGGAATAAGGATCCCCACAGAGGGCGCCAAAATATGGGAGCTGAAATCCACGAACTGAAGATGGAGTGAACTTGAGTGGGTTCCTGATTCCCTGTCCGAACTTGTGAGTAAAATTGCCAAATGAGAGAAAATTGCTTTAGTTTTATTTAGTGTATTTTGCCAATAAAATCTGACCCCTTTACACTTAGTCCTCCCCCACTATTTATACAAATTTGAAGAATACTAAATGCCGGGCGAACTCCGCTCCGCGAATCACGCGTTCCACTTTAATGCACCGTTTGACCCGATGATAGCCCGTTTCGATTCTCCTCTTGAATGCTCATATCTTTCCGGACTCCTCTTAACGGGCTGACCAGCTCCGGGATCGAGCTACTATAAATGGGCCTTATAGTCATACCTTTCCGGTACCCACAGTCATACCTTTCCGGTACCCACATATTCAGAAGGAAGAAATAGAGAAGCAGATAGCAAGCATGCTCACCGCCGGAATCATCAGGGAAAGTGGTAGCCCTTTCTCAAGCTCGGTGCTCTTGGTCAAGAAAAAAGATGGAAGCTGGAGGTTTTGCATGGACTACCGTGTTCTTAATAAAGCGACTGTGCCGGATAGCTACCCAATTCCGATGATCGACCAACTGCTTGATGAACTTCACGGAGACCAATTCTTCTCCAATTTGGACCTACGCTCCGGCTACCACCAAATATGGGTCAAGACCGAAGATGTTCCAAAGACTGCATTTCGGTCACATGATGGGCATTACGAGTTCCTCGTAATGCTGTTTGGGCTGACTAACACACCCGCGACGTTCCAGTCTTTGATGAATGAAGTATTTCGACCTTTCCTTCGCCGCTTCGTGCTCGTGTTCTTCGATGACATATTGGTCTACAGCAAGACTATGCATGAGCACCACCAGAATTTGCGATTGACCCTTCAGGTGCTTCACGACCAACAGCTCTACGCCAATCAAAAGAAGTGTCAGTTTGGCAGTAGGAAAATTGAGTACTTGGGGCATGTCATATCCGTCGAAGGAGTAGCAGCTGACTGCAGCAAGATTAAGGCGATGACAGGCTTGGATATCCCAACTAACATCAAGGTGTTAATTTCTTGGGATTGACGGGATACTACCGCAAATTTGTGCAAGGCTACGGGTTAATGGCGAGACCACTGACATATATGCTCAAGAAGGATCAATTTGTCTGGACAGACCAAGCCAAGGAAGCTTTTTTCAAACTCAAGGAAGCCATGGTCACCGTTCCAGCTCTAGCACTGCCAAATTTTTCTGAGGTATACGTGGTAGAATCCGATGCGTCTGGCATGGGGTTAGGCGCAGTACTGATGCAAAACGATCAACCCATTGCTTACTACATCCATTCCTTAACAGAGAGACAAAGGTTGAAGTCGGTGTATGAATGCGAGTTAATGGCATTGTGTTTGCTATCCAAAAATGGAGGCACTACCTACTGGGAAGGAGATTTGTGGTGAAAACAGATCAGTAAAGCTTGAAGTTTCTCTTGGAACCGAGGGAGATCAACATGGAATATCAGAGATGGTTAACTAAGCTGTTGGGGTTTGATTTTGAGATTCAGTACAAACCGAGAATGGAAAACAAGGCAGCCGACGCTCTGTCACACAAGTCAGTTCAGCCTCACCTGTTTGCCTTGTCGGTTCCTGCGTCCATACAGTTGGAAGAGATCTGCAGCGAAGTAGATAGGGACCCAACCCTTCAGTTGATCATCAAGGAGCTAAACGAGGATGTCAATTCTTACCCTGATTTCTCCATCATCCAGGGAAGAGTCCTACGGCAAGGCAAGTTAGTGATCCCTCATACATCACCAATCACAGGCCTAATCTTGAGGGAATTTCACGATGGAAAACTTGGGGGTCATGGCGGGGTGCTTAAGACGCAAAAGAGGATCGCAGCACTATTTTACTGGCAGGGGATGATGCAAGACATAAGAAGGTATGTAGCAGCCTGTCAAGTATGCCAATGATACAAGTACTCGAATTTGGCACCTAGCGGATTGTTGCAACACTTGCCGATACCAGTCAAGATATGGGAGGATGTGTCCATGGATTTCATCGAAGGTTTGCCTAAGTCGGGCGGTTACAATGCGATATTGGTGGTCATAGACAGGCTGTCTAAGTATGCTCACTTCCTGAGACTGAAGCAGCCCTTCACCGCAACGGACGTTGCCAATCTGTTCACTCAAGAGGTCGTCAAACTGCACGGGTTTCCTCGCACCATCATTTCGGATCGAGATAAGATCTTCACCAGTCTCTTTTGGAAGGAGTTATTTCGATTGGCTAGCACCAACCTCTGCTTTAGCATGGCCTATCACCCGCAAACAGATGGCCAGACCGAGGTGACCAACAGGGGATGGAGACCTATTTACGCTGCTTTGAGGGGGATCAACCACGAACATGGGCTCAGTATTTTGCCTGGGCGGAGCTCTGTTATAACACTTCCTTCCACACCGCTATCCAGACTACCCCTTTTCAGGCAGTTTATGGAAGGGAGCCCTCAGCCTTGGTTCAGTATGAGAACGGTTCAACCTCAAATGCAGACTTGGAGAAGCTTTTAAAACCCAGAGACGTGACCTTGGCGGTGATTTAAGGGCATCTGCATAAAGCACAACAAAAGATGAAGCGAAGGGCAGATGGACACAGGCGGGAAGTGGAGTTTGAAGTAGGGGACTTGGTTTATCTGAAAATGCGACCCTACCGACGTAGATCATTGGGCAGGAGGAGTAACGAGAAGCTGTCGCCCCGGTTTTATGGACCTTACAAGGTGGCAGCCAAGGTGGGGAGCGTAGCTTATCGTTTAATGCTGCCCCGGAAGCTAAGATCCACCCCACATTCCATGTTTCTCAGTTGAAGAAAGCCGTGGGAGAGCAGTCAGTCGTGGTTTAGATTCCTCCACAGCTCATTGAGGAAGGTTTCTTGCACGCTGAACCTGAGGTCGTTTTAGGCAGACGAGTCCACCCGGTTTCCGGACAGAAAGAATTGCTAATCAAGTGGAAGGACCAGCCCGAGTATGAGTGTTCTTGGGAGTGGGAAAACACCATCAAAGTTCAGTTCCCTTCCTTCAACCTTGAGGACAAGGTAGGTTTTGTTGGGGAAGGTATTGATAACGACGAGGCCCAGCAGCAGGCTCTAGATAATAACGAGGCCCAGCAAGGGTACATTCTGCGTTGTGACCCAAGTAAGAGAAAGGCCCAAAGGCCCATTAGTTTCAAATAAGAAGGAAAGAAGATCCAAAGCTTCTGGAAAGCGTTGATGAACGGATTGGAGCGTTTTACCGGAGTTGCACTTTTGATTACCGTAGTTAGATGAATAAACTGTGGTTAGCAGTAGCCAGCTGGAGGCTAGCCACTTGTCCTTGGGGTCTAACGGCTTTGTGTGAGAAAAGCTGTATAAAGTAGAGTGTAAGGGTTTGGAGTCTAGTATCGAGAGTTTGGGTGAAATCTTGGATTGTAAGGGGGAGGAAGGGATTCGTAAGTCCCTTGGCTTGCAATTGTTTCCTTATTAATAAAAGTATCGTTATTTCCATTGATCTTGTTAAGTTAACACGTTTATTCTTATCATTATGTAACTGAACTAGCATTTCCTCCTAAACAATATAACACGTCTCAAACCCAGAGTCTAACCTTAAAATCCATATTGTTGTGGTTCTTTAGCCATCAATATTATTCAGGATTTGATTCTAGAACTCATTTTCACCACGAGAAACATGGTCAAACACTATACCAAGAACCCATTTTTCCATGACATTACGTCTCGAGATGTTGGGAAGAAACTTATTATCCAAATTGAATAAACGAAACCCATAAAAACATCAATCTGTAATGATTTCACTATCTCCCTTGGAACACTAAGCACCATCAAAACCCCTTAATTAGCTTACAGGTTGCTAACTCTAAACTCCCAACAAAGCTATCATAATTTGTGGTGAAATATAAATACAGAGAGAGGAAATTGGCATACCCGATTGTTGTAAATATGACTCAAATACATATCGATTCTATTTAATATCATCATTAGTTCATCACATCATAGTCGGATTCATAATCTATATCATTGAATCCCCAAACTTGGTCACTTTCGCGTCGTTTTCTTCATCGTTCTTCTCATCTTTATCTTTGCTTAAATCAGACTTTGTATGAGAGGAGACACATCGATCTAGCGTAGTTATCAAACTGAGAAATGTATCCTTGCGATTTCAGCAACAACGAGATCCTTTAGCGGTGGCGACGACAGCGGGGCGACTCATGAGAAATAGGTCACTCCCTATTTTGTTTTGCCCTTACAGAGGAAGGGTAAAATGGTCAAAAAAAGGGAAAGAATGTAAAACTAAATATGAAAAGAAAATAGGGTATTTTTAAGGAGTGTTAACCCCAAAGGAGTATTTCTAACAAATTCTCAATTTAAATAGCAAAAGTAAGTTTTAAATTACGTAAATATTTCAAATACCGGGACAAAAAATGGATACAAAAAGAAAACGGGTAATTTAATTAGTTAATTACAAGCTATTTTTTTTTAAAAAACATGTAAATGATTTCATTTATATAATAAAAAAATTTACGATCATATCTTAGAGAGAAATAACGGGTATAAAAAGGGAACAGGTAATTCAAAAACAAAATTATCTAAACTATTTCTCATCAAAAACAAGACGATAAAAAAAATTTGGAAACTTAAATTCAATTTCAACATTCAAATATCAAATGACGGGTATGATACAAGAATAAGAAATTTAAATAGCAAAAGTAAATTTCAAATTACTTAAATACTTCAAATATCGGGACAAAAAATAACGGATATAAAAAGAGAACGGACATGTAATTTAATTAGATAAATACAGGCTATATAATGTTATTTTAAAACAGAAAACATGTAAATGATGTCATTTATAATAAAAAAATATGATCTTATCTTAGAGGGAAAGAACGTGTACAAAAAGGGAATGGGTAATTCAAAAAAAAATTTATCTAAACTATTTCATCAAAAACAAGACGATATAAAAAATTTGGAAACTTCAATTCAATTTCAACTTTCAAATATCAAATGACGGGTATGATACAGGAATATGAAATTTAAATAGCAAAAGTAAATTTCAAATTACTTAAATATTTCAAATATCGCAACAAGAAATAACGGATACGAAAAGGGAACTGGTAATTTAGAAAATAAAAATTATTTTCTTAACTAATTCTAATAATATACAAAAAGGAATTATGGGTAACGGGCAAGCTGAAGACATACTATTTATTTATTTATTCATGTGGGTGGACCAAAACATTTCAATTTGTTGTAGGACATGCATAGTGAACGGGTTTGACTCTCATGATATCTAATTATCTATATTTATGTTATTTTATTCAAAAGTTTTAATGTTTTTCATTGGTTTGTGTGATGTGATAGTTCACAAATTTAATTGATTTCTTACTTATCACTCGTTTTGTTCACACTCAATCCGGGTCTCTTATCATGTCGATCCAAATATTGGAAACTTTATGATAAACTTAGTTTTGGAAACCAACCCCGTACGTGCGGGTCCATCCCTAGTAACATTTTAATTTAAAAGCTTAAAATATTATAATATTTAATTTAAGCTTTATATAATATCAAAAATATTTAAAGTCCACAAAAAATGAAAGAATTATTAATATTTTAAATCTAGAAAGTTTAAAATATAATAATATTGTACATAAATACGACTGAACGGGTTTGAGTTTACATAAATATGATTATATTTTCTTACGGGTTATCTTAAATTTTTTTACGGGTTAAGTTAAAGTATAAATTTTTATTTTAAGGAAAAACATCGCGCAGTGTACCACATGTTAAAACCTAGTATTGGATGAACATAACAACCAATGAAGAAATTAAATGTTGCTCGCACGATCAAGTAGCCTCTGGTTGCCTTAAGCATTGTCATTTTATCAAAAAATCAAATCAAACTTTATAATTTAGTTGACACCTAAAAAGTGTATGCTTTTTTCGTCCCAAATTTCATAATTTTTTTAAAACATTTTTCCCAATTCAATATTTTAAATACTAACATCTACTTTTTAAACCTGCGTATTTATCTAAAGTAACTATAATTCTATGTTTTAACTAAATTAATTTGGTTTAGGTCATAAGTAATCAAAGTATCAAACCCAAGTAAGCTCTAGATTCCACGGTTTTGCTAATGAGACTATACCGAGTCAGATCTTAACAATGCATAAATATTAGAAAGGCCTCAAAAGTGGGTAGTCTTCAAGTAGCTCTCTTTCTGACAAAACGTCCTTCTCATTTTGTGGTGTCCAAAGTATTTCTACTGCCTGCAACATTTTGGTTTTACTTTTACTATTTATAAAGACTAATCCATTCTCATGATCAAGAAAGTTACGAATACGAAATCATTCTCTTACCAATATTTTCTTACTCGGTATCGATCCGAGTTCAAGTAAGGCTTCCTTAAGATGTGCACTTCCCTTTATTGTGTCCACTTTAAGTGTACCCTCTACAGCCACCAAGATGGTTACCTGAACATACACCTTGCTGTTAAAAAATCATTAAACTTAAAGCACAACAACCTAATGTTGGACCCGTTTATATAACTGTCTTACTACATTGGAGTTTCTATAAGTTTACCACAATATATTCATTGCTCAAACCACTATCTCTGTGAATCTTTGAGCTTTTTATCTTTAAGTTATTCACTTTAACAAGTGTCTCCTCGTCAAATTTTCCCCTTTCTTCAACAGAGAGTTTATTAAACTGCTTCTCTCCTTCTTCCAAACATTGCTTCACATCCACCTAAAAGTATATGATAGAGAAAGAGTGGTTAAGGTTCACACCATTGAATTACAAGACAAGCTGGTAATGAAAAGAACCAGTAGACTTACTGATGAATAACAGGAGATGCAATAGTCCGGGTGCCTGAGCAACGCTAATGTTGCCTCTGAAAGGAATGCAAAAAAACAAAAATTTAAACTACAAAAGATTATAAAATATAAAGAAAACATAGTACTGCCATAAGTAATACAACTTTCATACTAAACATAAAAGAAAAAGTCATTTAACATATGTACGAAGAGGGTATAAAGATGAAGTAAATCAATGAATATGTTACCGGTTAAAAGATAGCTTAGACCCTCTGGTGTAGATGTGTCTGCATTTTCAGCAAGGTGATTTAAATCTTGTTGTAAGGTCCTCGCGGAGCCTAGCAACCCCACCTGATAAAATACATATATATATACTAATTTCAACAGAAGCATAATGAAATGAAAGCTATTGATGCATATCTTAAATTATGTTTAATGATGATTGACTACTTCACATATGAGAGAGAGAGATCACCTGTAGTCTTAGGACGCTAGTTTTCGGAGCATTGGTAAGAATGTCATGGCCGCTAGGTTTCTGAGCATTGGTAAAAATGTCATTCTGTGACTGGTTTGAATTAATTTTAGAGACCAAATAAAACACAAAAGAGGCTGCAACCATCAGAGACAAGGTCCAATAAGATATTATTGGCCGAGCTGAGTCCTTGGAGCTAATAACCAAGACCTCAGATCTCAGAGACGACTCCGAGGAGCTTGGAGCCGGCTCCCACGGTGAAGATACGTCCACTGAGCTTGGAGTTGGAGCTGATTTACCCGATGGAGCAAAGTTTTCCCAAGTTGTAGACGAGTAGCTCGAAGCTGAAGGCGATGGCGATGAGTTTTGTGAAGGTGTATACGAGTAGCTCGAAGCTGAAGGCGATGGCGATGAGTTTTGTGAAGGTGTATACGAGTAGCTCGAAGATGATGACGATGGCGATGATTTTTTTTTTGAGCTTCTAGAAGAAGCTCTCGAAGCTGATGATGATGGCGATGATTCCTTTTTTGAACTTCTAGACGAGTAGCTCGAAGGTGATGATGATGATGGCGAACGAGAAGACGACGTAGAAGAAGAAGAAGAGGTGTTAGACCTAGACGAGAAGGCACTACCGCCAATTCTACCACCAGAGGCAGCCAAGGACAAGTTCCGATCACATAACAAAATAAGAGTAAGCATAAATACAGCGGCACTAACTGGTTTTTTCAGAGAATCTAACGTTTTCTTGATCTGAATCAAGATTTTGTAAACTGAAGCCTTCCACAAGTGAGCATGATTTGAATCGGTATTGGATCTTACTTGGGCTTCAAACCAAGGAGATTGTTTGTATTTAACGGCGATTTGGAGACGAATTGATAGGAGTTGAGGTTTGGAGTAGAAATGAACATTGTTAGGACGTTGCTTGTATGGGAAAGATGGATTCCATTGGAACGGAGTTATTTTCAGAATCGTAGAAGTAGCCACCATGGTGAAATTGTTTGATGCAGGAAATAATGGCTAGGGTTTTTGTTTTGTTATTCTTTCTTTTAATCGCTAGGTTTTATTTATCATTTGGAGGGAGATTTTTTTTCCTTTTTTTTTTAGTGTTTTGAAAGAAAAAAAGAAGAGGAAAACCAATTTTGGCAATAGGTAGGGGTGGACTTTTAACCCGAACAGAAACATATATATATATATAAAATATTCATTATCCTTAAAAACGATATTGTAATTGGTCAAATTTGGGTAGTGGTTCTCACTTCTGTTTTCTTCTCCTCAAATCCAGGTTTGAGGCCGATCATTCTCAAAGAAAAGCATATAATTTGTAACGATATTAAAAAGAAATTGGCTATGGCATACAAGATATATTTAGAAAAAGAAAATAAAAAGTTGTAATCATGAAAGACATAAGCGGTGAAGGCCAAGGTTACGTACGTATTCTCCATTTTTGAAGCGGAAAGACGCTAAGTGATCACATATGCCTACTCGCAAAGAAGATATTTACCATTCATGCAGATCCGTCGCTAAGATTTGAGGGGCTGCAAACTGGGAATTTTTTGAGAGAGGAGAGATTGATATGGTTTGGCTTTTGGTTTAAATCTGGTTTGCTATTTAATTGGTTTAAATCTGCTATAGTATTTTATTTAGGTGGTTTATGATTGTTTGGTAACTGTAAACCATGGTCGTAGGTAATTAGATGAGAACTATTTTCTTATGGGAGATACTTGAATATCGCTTTTGATTTGGAAAGATCAAAGTTAAAACTATTTGACCGCAAATATAAGTAGTGAAATATGAGGTCAAATCAATTATTTTGAACCTTTCCGTATGCACCATCAATTTCCTAAACCGGGGTGTCACAGTTTACCCTCACGAACAGATCGCCGTGTCCTCACTAAGCCCCAAAATCGTCACCCCGATTCCACACTAGTCTAGGTTCGGCTCTGATATCACTGCCCCGACCGTTACCTCTTAGGGGCATCACATCCACTCCCGGACAGTGAGTCCACCCAAATCTGACAGCTAAGTGGGTACGCCCTAGAGGCTTTATAGACTTATTCGCCGACCCTACAAATACACATGTGATATTTTCTTAAGTGTTTTCCTCATTCACATAGTTTTGGCAATCATTTCTCGGAAGTTTACCTATCTTAAAACTACTCCACACTAGCTACAAGAATATTGACCTTTTGCAACGTCCTTATAACGATATCTAACAATATGATAGCATTATGCGAAGCGCTATATCATCGCCCTGAAGAAAAAGTAATAATCAAATATCCGGTTTGCAAAATTCCAAAAAGAAAGTAAAAAAAGAAAAGAAGTACCGTATGTGTTTTGACATTAGAAATAAAAACTTTAACTAGAACAAAAAAAATGCAAATTAAAAATAAAATTCAACAACCATGAATAAGTAACGACATGTATATAAATATTTACTACAACAAAGGTTGGTCTCTAAAATATACTTCAAAAATATTGATATAGATTATCGAATAAAATACAAAATCTATATTATCTAAAATTTAAAATAAATTTTATAAATCCGCGTTTTTACTCGGACCTTAGTAACTAAATAAATCTAGGTTTAAACAAAATTAAACTGGTTTAGGCCGTGAATAAGTAATCAAAGTATCAAACCCAAGTAATCGTTTTGCTAATATGTATTACTAAAACGATTCAGATCTTAACAATGCATAAAAATTAGAAAGGCCTCAAAAGTGGGTAGTCTTCAAGTAGTTCTATTTCTGTCAAAACGTCCTTCTTCTGTGGTGTCCAAAGTACCTCTAATGCCTGCAACATTTTGGTTTTACTTCTTTTATTTCCAAGACTAAACCATTTGATGACTAAGCAAGCTACGGATACAAAATGATTCTCTTACCAATATTTTGTTACTCTCGTATCGATCTGAGTTTATGTAAGGCTTCCTTCAGATCTCCAGTTCCTTTTATTGTTTGTAGTTTAAGTGTACCCTCTACAGCCACCAAGATATCATGAACAACACTTCCTGTTACACAAAGCTTTTTGCAAACTATATAATTGCTTTCGCTTTCTCGACTTGTTTATATAGCTAGCTGACTACACTATCCCACTAGACGTTTGAATTTGGAGTTTCTAAAAATTTACCACAATATATATTCATTGCTCAAACCGCTATCTCTGTGAATCTTTGAGTTTCGTATCTTTATGTTATTCACATTAATAAGTGTCTCCTCGTCAAATTTTCCCCGTTCTTTAACAAACAGTTGGTTAAATTGCTTCTCTCCTTCTTCTACACACTGCTTCACATCCACCTAAAAGTGCATGATTAGAGCCAAAGTGGTTAAGGTTCTGCACCCAACCATGTTAATGAAAAGAACGAGTAGACTTACAGATGAATAACAAGAGATGCAATAGTTCGGGTGCCTCAACAAAGCTAATGTTGCCTCTGAATTAAACGCATTAAACAAAAAAAAAATTTACAACTTTTTAAGTTTTGGTTATATAAAAAAACCATAGTACTCCCATAAGTAATACAACCTTGGTACTAAACATAAAAGAAAAAGTCATTTAACATATATATGAAGACGGTATAAGGGTGAAGTAAATCAATGAATATGTTACCGGTTAAAAGATAGATTAGACCCTTTGGTGTAGATGTACCTGCAGTTTCAGCAAGATGATAAAAATCTTGTTGTAAGGTCCTCGCCGAGCCTAGCAACCCCACCTGATAGAGATACATGTTGATACGAATAAACGAATTTGCAACAGAAGCATCATATATCCACTGAAAGATTTTGAGAGATCTTAAATTATATCTGTATTTGGTGATGACAGACTACTTCACTTATGAGAGAGAGAGAGATCACCTGTAGTCTTAGGACGCTAGTTTTCGGAGAATTGGTAAGAATGTCATTTTGTGACTGGTTTGAATTGATTTTAAAGACAAAATAAAACACAAAAGTGGCTGCAACTATCAGAGACAAGCTCCAATAATCTATTATTGGCCGAGCTGAGTCCTTGGGAGCTAATAACCGAGACCTCAGATCTCACAGTAGACGAGTAGTTCAAAGCTGATGGCGATGATTTTTGCGTAGGTTTATGAGTAGTTTAAAGGTGTATATGAGTAGTTTGAAGCTGATGACGATGAGTTTTGCGAGGGTGAATACGAGTAGCTTGAAGATGATGCCGATGATTTTTTTTTTTGAGGTTCTAGACGAGTATCTCGAAGCTGATGATGATGGCGACTGAGAAGACGGCGTAGAAGAAGATGAAGTATTAGACCTAGACGAGAAGGCACTACCGCCAGTTCTACCACCAGAAGCAGCCAAAGCCTACGATCACATAACAAAATGACACTGAGCATAAATACAGCGGCACTAACTGGTTTTTTAAAAGAATCTAACGTTTTCTTGATCTGAATCAAGATTTTGTAAAATGAAGTCTTCCACAAGTAAGAATGATTTGAATTGGTAGTGGATCTTACTTGTGCTTCAAAATAAGGAGATTGTTTGTATTTGACGGCGTTTTGGAGACGAAGAGAGTTTGATCGGAGTTGAGGTTTGGATGAGTAGAAATGAACATAAGGATGTTGCTTGTATGGGAAAGATGGATTCCATTGGAACGGTGTTATTTTCAGAATCGTAGAAGTAGCCACCATGGTGAAATTGTTTGATGCAGGAAAATGATGGCTAGGGTTTTTGCTGTTGTTTTCATTCGCTAGGTTTTATTTATCACTTGGAGGGAGACTTTTCTTTTTTTTTTTTTTAGTATTTTTGAAAGAAAATAAAAAAGAGAAAGGCCAATTTTGGCAGTTGGTAGGGGTGGGATAATAGTTCTCACCTTTTTTACTTTCTCACAAAATCCAGGTTCGAGTCCATTCCTTTTCAAAGACAAGCGTATATTTTGTAATGATGTCAAAAAAAAAACAGGTTATTTCATACAACATAGATTTTTAAAAAATGTAAAATAAAAAAGTTGTAATCATGAAAGACCAAAGTGGTGAAGCCCAAGATTACATACGTATCCTCCATTTTTGAAGCGGAAAATCGATAAGTGATTACATATGCCGACTCACAAAGAAGATATTTACCATAAAAGTAGATCCGTCACCAAGATTTGAGGGGCTACAAGCCAGAAAAAATTTGAGAGAGGAGAGATTGATTTGGTTTGGCTTTTGGTTTAAAACCGTTTGCTATTTAATTGGTTTAAATTTGGTAGAGTATTTTACTTAGGTGGTTAATGATTGTTTTGTAAACTGTAAACCGATGGTCGTGCGTAATTAGATGAGAACTATTATCTTATGGGGGATACATGAATATAGCTTTTGATTTGGAGAGATCTAAGTTAAAACTATTTGATCGCAAATATAAGTGGTGATATATGAGGTCAATTCAATTATTTTGAACCTCCACGAACAGATCGTAGTGTCCTCACTAATCCCCAAGACCGTCACCCCGATTACACAGTCGTCTAGGTTCGGTTCTGATATCACTGCCCCGACCGTCACCTCTTAGGGCCTACATCCACTCCAGACAATGGGTCCGCCCATATCTGACAGCCGGTTTGCTCCATCCGAGAGTTTATAAAGACTTATTTACCAACCCTACATATACACATGTGATATTTTCTTTTGTTTTTTCCTCACTCACATAGTTTTGGCAATCATTTCTCGGAAGTTCACCTATCTTAAAACTACTCCACACTAGCTACAAGAATATTGACATTCTGCAGCGTCCGTATAACGATATCTAACAATTTGATAGCATTATGCTAAGCGCTATATCATCGCCCGAAAGAAAAAGTAATAATCAAATATCCGGTTTGCAAAACTCCAAAAAGAAAGTTAAAAACAAAAGAAGTACCGTATGTATTAAAGAAAATTTAACATAAATTTTATAAACCCGCGTATTTACTCGGACCTTAGTAACTAAATAAATCTAGGTTTTAACAAAATTAAACTGGTTTAGGCCGTGAATAAGTAATCAAAGTATCAAACCCAACTAAGCTTTAGATCCCACGGTTTTGCTAATGATAGTAAAACGATTCAGATCTTAACAATGCATAAAAATTACAAAGGCCTCAAAAGTGGGTAGTCTTCAAGTAGTTCTCTTTCTGTCAAAACGTCCTTCTCGTTCTGTGGAGTCCAAAGTACCTCTACTGCCTGCAACATTTTGGTTTTACTTCTTTTATTTCCAAGACTAAACTATTTCATAATTAAGCAAGTTACGGATACAAAATGATTCTCTTACCAATATTTTGCTACTCGGTATCGATCCGAGTTTATGTAAGGCTTCCTTAAGATCTTCACTTCTCTTTATTGTCTGCAGTTTATATGTACCTTCTACAGCCACCAACATGGTTACCTGAACATGTACAAATATTAAACACACAAACCACAGTAGGAGCTATTTTCAAACTATATAATTGCTTTCGCCTTCTCGACCCGTTTATATAACTGTCTGGCTACATTATCGCACTAGACGTTTGAATTTGGAGATTCATAAAGTTTACCACAATATATTCATTGCTTAAACCACTAGCTTTCTGAATCTTTGAGCTTCGTATCTTTATGTTATTCACGTTAACTAGTGTCTCCTCGTCAAATTTTCCTCGTTCTTCAACCGAGAGTTGATTAAATTGCTTCTCTCCTTCTTCTAAACACTGCTTCAAATCCACCTAAACGTACATGATAAATAAAGAGTGGTTAAGGTTCTGCTACCATAGAATTACAATAAGAACCAGTATAGTAGACTTACTGATGAATAACAAGAGATGCAATAGTCCGGGTGTCTCAGCAAAGCTAATGTTGCCTCTGAATTGAATACAAAAGAGAACAAACATTTTTACAACTAAAATTCAACTTTTTACTATAAGATTTGAGAAGAACTTCAAGCTAAAATTTTCTGAGAATATAAAGAAAACATAGTAAAAATATTTGTAAATTTAACATTTTCACATAAAGATGATTAAATCAAGGAGTATCATGGTACCGGTTAAAACATAGCTTAGACCCTCTGGTGTAGTTGTATCTGCATTTTCAGCTAGATGATTAAAATCTTGTTGTAAATTTCTTGCTGAACCCAGCAACCCAACCTGAAAGAGATACATATACATATAAACGACTCTACAGCATAATCATAAGCCAATGAAAACTACTGAGAGAGCTTTTATAGCAAAATGATTTGGTCATGCTTTTTTGAATGTTACTTTTCCTAGTTTTTTTTTCTTAATTATTTGGTTATTTGTTTACTCTAGTATTCACCTAACATACCAGTCAAACCTAAAAATCATTATATAAAATTCTTAGAACTAAGTCCTTATGAGCAGAAGAGAGAGAGAGAGAGAGAGAGAGAGAGAGAGAGAGAGAGAGAGAGAGAGAGAGAGAGATCACCTGTAGTCTCAGGACACTAGTTTTCTGAGTATTGCTTATATTGTCACTCTCTGACATGTTTGCAATGGTTACTGAGACAATACCAAACGCTGTCAAACCTATCATAATCAGAGACAAGCTCGTATTGGATATTAGGGGCAGAGTCATGACCCGTGAGCTTAGAACCGAGAACTGGGAGCTCAGACGCGATTCAAAGTCGAAACTGATGACAATCGCCAAAACGGTGTAAACAAGTACCAACAGAATGATATCCATAGCCTCATGAATGCAAACAAGAGTTTAAACAAGTAGCTCCTAGCAAAGAACAATAGCCACAAGGGTATAATAAACAAGTATCTCGAAGCTGATGACGATCGCGAATAGCTTTCCGAGGGAGTATACAAGTAGCTCGAATATGATGGCGACGAGTAGCTAGAATATGATGGCGACGAGTTTTCTTCCCAGCTTTTAGACGATTTTTTTTTTGAGCTTCTAGACGAGTAGCTCGAAGATGATGATGATGATAGCGAACGAGAAGACGACGTAGAAGAAGAAGAAGAGGTGTTAGACCTAGACGAGAAGGCACTACCGCCAATTCTACCACCAGAGGCAGCCAAGGCCAAGTTACGATCACATAACAAAATCAGACTAAGCATAAATACAGCGGCACTAACTGGTTTTTTCAGAGAATCTAACGTTTTCTTGATCTGAACCAAGATTTTGCAAAGTGTCTTCTTCAACAACTGATCATGATTCGAGTCGGTATCGGATCTTACTTGAGCTTCAAACCAAGGAGATTGTTTGTATTTAACGGCGATTTGGAGACGAATTGATAGGAGTTGAGGTTTGGAGTAGAAATAAACATTGTTAGGACGTTGCTTGTATGGAAAAGATGGATTCCGATGAAACGGAGTTATTTTCAGAATCGTAGCAGTAGCCACCATGATCAAATTGTTCGATACAGAAAATTATGGCTAGGGTTTTTTTTTTTTGTTTTATTAATTCAGATCGCTAGGTTTTATTTATATTTATCAAAAAGGGAAACCGCAGTGAGAAACATTTTGGTGGGAGATTTTTCCTTTTTCTCTTTTTTTTTGTTTCAGTTTTTTATTTCTAACGAAATATAATTTTATTAATTAAGAATTAATATAGTCATGATACAATTGATTTCGAAGCCAAATTGGTAGACAAACACTAGTATAAAAAGAATTATTGGCTAAACAACCAAATATTGCTAAGAGATGTGCTGCTTTATTACAAATTCTTTTAAAAATACAAAAGTAATTGTAATAAAAGGATTTATCCAATGCAAAATATCAAAGATGATACCAAAAGATGGATTGCCAAAAGAACGAAGAATGGTAGTTCTATCAAGATGGATTGCCAAAAGAACGAAGAATGGTAGAAGATGGTCGAGACACCATCGATCCTGTCGAAAGCCAGACAAAATCGAAGAAAAGAAGATTGAAGCCAAACATAAAGGAAATTCTCAATGCACTACCAACGATAAGATGACTTGAAGATAGTTTATCAAAGAGTTGCCAAGTTTGTCGAAGAATTCTCACTAAGTATCGAAATGTCCGAACATGATCGAGAAAATTTCAAGAAGATCGAGAAATATCCGATTCTGTGTTTGTTCAGTGAACCTTTCACTCGACAACATTGCCACATGGCAAATTCTGACAAGAAAATATCTCGCATGGGAGAAGATTCAATGGATGCAATCGGACAGAATCATGTTTCTTCTCCATGACTGCCACGTGTCCGGCAGCGAGAGATGGCTTGTTCCGCCATACCCGAACCTGCACATGGCGTCTGCATGCGATTTCCGAAGCTAGCAATTTTTGCCAAAGCTAAAGGCTATAAATAGGAGCAGTGAACCGTCATTTGTGTTTGTTCGCCTAAACGACACGTCTCTCACTCTAAAAATTTCTCTCTCGCTCTTGAAAGTTTCACTCGAGAAACTTGCCCCTTGATCGAGCATTTTCTGCCGAAGGATCGAGAATCCGGTTGCCGGAATCAAGAGATCTGCTACCAAAGGTCGAAATAAGAAGAAGGAAAGATCGTGAGCTAGCCTCGGTGAGAGAAAGGAAGAAGTCGTCGATAAAAACACTATGAGTTGGATACAAATTGTGTGGGGTGCTGCATAAGTCTTCGGACTTTTGTACGCACCTATTGTGTGTTTTGCTTGCCTTTTCTTTTTGTAGAACTTGCATGATAGGCTTTATTTTCTGAAAAAATGAACTCGCATGCTTAAACAATCCGGCTTAATTACAAGATAGTACTTGCTAATATGACCAACTAAAATGAAACCGCATGTTAATCCGGATAGGTTTAGTTTCTTAAATATCACCGAGAACTATCACCTAGATTAATCACACACTTGCTTGCTTGCTTTGCTTTGTTTACTTGATGATTGCTTCATTTGCTTGCTTGCTTGCTTGTTTAATTATCTCTTCTAGTAATGATCTTATTTGTGTAGAATTTCTTTGCTTTTAGAGAGTCCTTAGTTTCAGATCTGTAGATTTGATTCTTAGGTTCGATAATCTGTTTCTTCGGCGATCGCGATGCGGGTCTCGAAGAGTTAACCTTTGTGGTTTCTCAGGTCTTGACCAGGATGCTTGGTCCCTAGCTCGCGACTAGCCCAAGATGTTGAATGACGATGCAACCAAGATGTTTCCTCCGATTGAATGCCTTCGTGGTTTCATCCCGAGATGATTTATAAAAAGGAACGGATCAGATTATCGAGAGTCTAGGGAGTGGAGTCTAGCGAGTCTTAGCTTAAGTCGAGTCTAGTTTAGTCTAGTCGAGTCTTGTAGTTTGTCTTGCTTGTCTTGCTTGTTTGCTTTCTATGCTTCCGCTAACGCTTTTCTTACCTTGTTTCTTTTGGGGTTTGGGGGGGGGGGGGGGAAATTGCATGGTAGCTTGGGGGTATCCGGCTCACTGAGTAATACTAGATTACTTAAAGCTCATTTTTTTGCCAGTTTATTCTTAAGGAGTCTAGACCGTAGCAAACAATTGGAGCCGGATTTAGAATATTTTCATGTCTTTGCAAAATATTACTCTTCTATTATGTATTATTTTCTCGATGGATCCAACTTTTAAATGCTTTAGTAACTTGTTTTGTAAAACTTTATAAGTAATAAAAGGAAGTTTTGGGGAAAAAACTATGGTGTTTCGAGCTGATATAACTCCACTTCCATCGGTCATGTCCGGGCCGGTGGGAGTGCACAACTCTCGTCCGCGTCGGCCGAAGGGTTGCAAGGCCTGGACGCATCGACCGGGCGAAGAGGGACAACTGGTCTCGGACGCATTTGGCTCGGGGATCCTACCTCGCCTGTATCCTACCGGGGGAACCTCAGCTGGGCGCGTTTGGCCATGCTCTCAGTAGCGTCCTTTCGGGTCGTCCATCGGCTCGTCCGGCCGAGGGACGGTTTGGGGGCGTTATAGTTGCTCTCAAATAAAACATCACGATAACCCTTCATTCATACATGATGCATTACAGCCAAAAGGGCTTTTGCTTCAGCCTCAAGTGGGAAAGACAAATTTGGAAGTAGTGAGGAGCCCAATGATGTACTGTGCCCTCATGATCTCTTATGATCCAACATTGGTAGTTCGATAAGTATATTGATCATATGTTGCAGCTACATTACACTTTACTATAGGATACGATGGGTTATTCCATTTATGTTGTATAGGTACCACAAGTGGACTTGGTTCTATCGTAACTGGTTCATAAATTGTTGCCCTAATCCATTCTTCAACATCCTCTTTCACTCTTATAATTACATTGGAATGACTTATTTGACTTCTATTAAAAGATAAGTCATTTCTTGATTTCCAAAGATGCCAAAGTAACCAAATAGGTAGTAATTTTTGTTCTTTAGTTATTCTCGGTGAAATTTGAAACCACAAAATGTATGAAATATGCTCTTCATAAGGTTTATTTCTCGAAAAAAGTGAGACTAAAGGTGTGGACGAAAGATGCCAAATTGTTTTAGAAAAAGACAATTAATTAAAGACATGTTGGATATCTTCATCAACTAGACCACAACAAAGGCAAGTCGGATTTAAATGCATTCCACGAGTATTTAGTCTGCCATTTGTAGCTATCGCACGAGAGAATTCGCTTGGTTAAATGGGTGAATCTGATGCGATGTATGAATCTCGTTGTTGCTAATTGATGATGTGAACTGCATACCTGGTTGATTATGTGTGTTTAACCAATTGTGTTGGCATGGAGACCTAGATCATCCTCTCGAGCCTTCAATGAGATTCCAAGGTTAGCTGTCTGCCTTGTGGTTATTGCGCTTGTGTTCTTAGCCTTCTATTGTGGTGTAGATGGTTAGAGATGGAGTTGCTGGTCGTGGTGTTGCCTCATGTAGCGATACGAGAGTGGACCGGGGTGCTACGGCCAAGCATATCAGCGATTCTCAGTCGTATCAAGAGGGATCCTTGGGAGATGCTAGTGTAAGTGCCGTTGGAACCGGTTTGCCCGCAGACGGTACTGGTCTACTTAGGAACCCGGTCGGGGGCTATTCCAGCAGGTGGGGCCCAGGGTCATAATGATTGTATTGCGGATCTACTGAAACAGATTTTGGAGCGGTTACCGGGAGCGGTACCAGCGTAGGCTCGAATTGGACCGCCAAGGGTGGCGGAACTGCAGCCTGTTGGGCCAGGTGGGCCCGATGTGCAGTCCGGTGTCGGGTTGTACAACCAGAGGGAGTAGGTGCGGTTATCGAGCAGCCGTACTATCTGCGGATGATGGAGCAGCTGTAGAGGTTCGAGATGTCCATGTTCTTTGGGGGCTCCGATCCTGCTGTAGTAGATGAGTGGCGGGTGAGATTAGAGCGGTACTTCCAATCGATGAGGTGCCCGGAGGCGTACAAATAGGACACGATAATCTTCCATGTGTAGTCCATCCGTATAACATGCCATATGCAAGGAAATCGCTGATAGTCCACAAAATGCTTGTTTTAAGGTTGAAGTTTTGATCTAAGGAGACATCGTATGCCTCAACTCCGTTATCCCATGTATTTTAAATCCTCGATTAGTGGTTGGAGGAAAACATCAAGACTAGCTCGTGGATAATTTGGTCATGAATTATGAATTGTTATAAAACAAATATTCACTCCTCATGCATTATCAAGAGGCAAATTATATGGAGTCAAGATCACTGGCCACAACAAATGATGTTTGGACATCCCAAAAGGATTGAAACCATTTCTACATAGTCCAAGATAAACATTTATGCAGTTCGCTTGTAAATGAGGGATGCAAGTGCTTAAAATTCTTCCAGTCAGCCGCATCTGATGGATAACACATTACTCCTTCTTCTGAATCATGCTCAGCATGCCATCTCATAGAAGCTGAAATCTTCATGGATTGGTACATTCTCTTCAGTCTATCTCCAATGGGTAAGTACCACATCTTACTATATGGTATTCTTGTTCTTCGTTTACAAACCTTATACCTTGGTTTTCCGCAAAACTTTCAATGCTCCAAGTTATGATCTTCTTTCCAGAAGAGCATACAATTATCTATACATACATCAGTAGTATAGTATGCAATCCTAGCTTTCGCATCAATGTCTCGGTCTCGTAATATGAACCAATTGCGAGATTACCTTCTGGTAAAAACTCCGTAAACAATTCTGCCCATGGATCTATGCAAGCTTCAGACAAATGGTTCATGCTTCGAACTGCTAACGATAATTGCGATTGACATACCCGACATCCATCATAAATTAGAGTATTGGCAGTAGCTAACATATCATAGAACCATTTCATTTCTTGGGTGGATTCTTCATGAACATGATCTGTATTGAACCATGAAATGCATCATTAACCATCTCAGCATATACATTATGCCCATCAAAACCTATTGGTTCATTAGTTCCCTCCCCATGATCAAATCCTATTGTATCAAGACTAGTATAATCTGG